ATATATATATATATATCTATATATATATATATATATATATATATATATATATATATATATATATATATATATATATATATATATATAAATGAATATCTGCATAACTTTCAGCTCCTCTGGAGAAGTTCTAACTTATTTCAAAGAAGAAAATAATAATAATAAAAATAAAAATAACTTCAGTTCCTATTCCAAAAAATAAATTTGAATCTAACCTTTTAATGGAGAGAATGGAGATTCTTTAAAAACTACAAAACCACGATCAAAGACTCACGAAGCTTGTCTCCATTTCAATGCAAATCGAGTACGATAAGATTTCGTTTCTCGACACTTCCGCAGTTCCGACAGAGTTGCCGAACGCCATTCTTCTCGACCGCTCTCCCTAATTTCCAAGCTCGCTTGCTCCAAATCTCGCAACCACAACTGTCTGAACCAATCACCTTCGTCTCCACTCTCTCTCTCCATTAGAAGCTTCCACAACCACTCGACAACTTCCATATCCAAATGCATTAGAATTCTCGGACGACAAATACGAAGCAGACCATCTAAATTACTCGAACCGGCAGATAAAGAAGCATTCAAACTCAATCTATCCACCACAACAGCTATACCACAACCATTCATGTATTGTACCGTATTAACGTTTCCTCGAATTACGTCGTCGTGATTCATCAAATATTGATCGATAGACAGGATAATTCTAGATTTGCTTACTGAGTTGAGCAGTTCATTTAGCTCGAGGAACCACAAATAACCATTGTTTATCTGCATATAGTTTATGTTTAATTCTGAACGCCAGCTGGAAGTAGTTTTTCCGAAAGAGATCGAAGGGATAAAGAATCCTTGATATTCAAAAAGTAGCATGCTCGGGGCATCGATGAATAGCTTGATATCTTTCAATCCTTCACAATCCGAAAGGCTCAACCAGACGAGGATCGGGAATTTACACGAAGACATGTGTTCCAATGACGAGTCGACACCCCTCAGATGTAAGTTTATGAGGTTACGAAACTCCGCTCCTTTGCAAAACCAAATATTGCCAAAACTAATATTGATGGTTTCTATGGACGACGGTGCATGGATTTCGATGCTACAAGGTTCCTCCTCCAACTCATCTTCGTACACTACGTCAAAATTAAAGTAGATAAGATTGGGAAGATCACTCAAATTAATTTTCTTTAACCCTTCGCATCCTTCGATTATCATAGTTTCGATCGAAGGACAACTCGAGATTATCCTCTGAAAAACCGCGTCCTCGATGTACACTTGCTCGAGATGAAGTTGGTCCAGATGCTTCAAGAGTACTATCCTTTCAATACACTTTTGGTCCATCACGAATTTTGCCACGTGCAAATATTGGAGGGATTCGGCTCCAAAGACTACGGAGGGCATATCGATAAATGCCCAACTATATCTCGAATGAATAGAGAGATCAAACTTCTTCATGCCCATATGTTTCAGCAATGGGATCCAATTTTCAAGAAACGTAACCGATGGGCAATCCGAACCATCTACCAATATACAAAGGTCGAATTCCTCGACGCACAACCTTTGATCACGATAACGTTGTATGGTCTTGTCCACAGTGATTAAAAAATCTTGTCTCTTGCCTTTGAAGGTTTGGACGGAAAAAGCAAGATTGGGACGAGCGCACCAAACGTGGCGCCATGATTTGGACAAGACAGAGGTTCGGACAGCATCTTCTTGGGGAAGGAAATAAAGTATTCTCTCTAAGATCTCTTGTGGCAAAACAGATATTATGTCCATGGATTTGGAACCGTCTTCTTCTCCTTTTGCCCTTTTCATGCTGTGTATGAATGAATTACTCCAAAATATTTAATTTGTCAGGCTCTGATTTATAAACCCTAATGAACTTTTCATAGAAGCGTCGCAGATTTTTCTCTCTCTCGTTTAGGGCCTATGGTTTGTTCTTTGATAACAAGTCTTGTTTGTGGGGAATTGTTTTAATATATATAGTTATATATATGTTTCGGATTTCCTTTTTTCTTTTTTTTAAGTTAATAACTAAATCTAATTTTGAAATTATTTCAAATGTATACTAATCCTAACCTAATATCAATGTTTTAAAAACCGGACAGGACATCGAACCGGATCAGCAACTGGGTCACTGTTGGACCGGTTCGACCGAGGTTCGACCGGGTTTTTGCATTTTTTAACATTTTAATTTATTTATATGATTTTAAAGTGGTAATTATATGAACATATGCACTCAAATAATATATAATTATATATTCCTCATAAAATATCATTTTTAAGCATTTACTGATTTACAATTTAAAATTCACAATAAAAAATAAAATATAAAGGAAATCAAGTTAGCATTTACCAAAAAAAATAAAATTACATAAACATAAATATCCAAATAATGTATCAAATACAAAATAAAACATACACATAAAAGTTTATACCAAAAATTACATAATTGAATTTTATATAATACTTACATATCTTTTAAGTTTGAAAAGTCAATATAAATTTGTAATTTTAAAATAATTTATACTAAAATTTCAATACAATTATATATTAAAGCCTATTTGCCCGAAACCTAAACCTAATTTTCTTAGTCCTTGCGCCTCCACTCTCTCCCCCGCTGTAATGCTATGCGCTTTTTTTTTTCTTTCTTTTTTTCTTCTTCTCCTCTCTTTCTCAATCATTGCCATTGCCGATCTTTCAGCAAACCAGACGAAGAAGTGAAGTTTTCTGTTTCCATCTCTCTGTCATTTTATTTTTCATAGGGAACCGTTTTTTTGCCGGTTTTTCCCGGTTTTAGGGCGGTTCAACCGGAATTTGTCCGGTTCCCAATAATCGACCCGGGTTTTTGGCCTTTCCGGGTTTATGTATTGGATCGGATCGGCGTGGTGCCCGGTTCGCGGTTAAACCGGTCAATGGGTACTTATTTATAAAGATATCCAGACAAAAAACTCATTTACAAATAAGTCCACGCATGGTCCAGATTTTTGTAAAAGACTAAAATAGCCCCTCATACTTTAATATGCTCAAATTTCATCCTTAACTTTATTTAACCTCAATTTGACCCCAAATTTTACAAATTATTCAATTTTGACTCAAAACTTTTTTTTTTAATTCCGGCGTTGACTTTTCGATTTTTTTTTCTTCCTTCCGGATTTTTTCGCCGGTCTCCGACTTTGACTTTTTTTTTTCTTCTTTCTGTAACATTTGTTTTTCGTTTAAATAACAATATTGCTGTGATTGACAGTAATATTAACTATATTACTGTTAAACACAGTAAAATTAACTAAACTACAGGTTAAGACAGCAATATTGCTATATTAATCTCTAGCACAGTTATATTAACACAAAAAAACTCATTATTATTGTGTAATAGAGTAATATTACTATGTTGACTGTTCAACAAATGTAAACATAATAAAAAGCCAAAAGAATTAATATTACTGTAAGTTGACAGTAATATTACTATAACAACAGTAATATTACCGCCAACCACAGTAATATTACAATAATAGACATTAATATTATTACGTTACTCCGTTAACAACTCAAACAAACAAAAAAATCCAAACAAAATAATTATATTGATGTGGTTGACAACAATATTACTATAACAACAGTAATATTACCGTCAACCACAGTAATAATATTGTGTTTACAGTAATATTACAATAATAGACAGTAATATTATTACGTTACTCCGTGAATAACTCAAACAAAACAAAAAACTCATAAAAATAATAATATTGATGTGGTTGACAGTAATATTATTGTGTTTACAGTTATTTTACTGTCAAAGACAGTAATATAATTACGTTGACTTGTCAACAAATCAAATAAAATAAAAATAAAAAATTAACAAAAAATAAAAAATAATAATATTACGTTAATTTACTGTCAACGGCAGAACAATTACATAAATGTATTGTCAACGGCTGTACAATTACGTTAAATAGCAAACGAAACGCGGTCATTTGAACACATGCAATGTGGCGTTCATTGAAATTATATGTTTTGAAGAAACGGACAACAGAAACGAGTGTTGCACGATATTTCGGATTTGCAACTTGCAACTTGCAACTTGCAAATTCATAACAGAGAATTACAAAAAGCAAACTCTTAACAGAGAATTAGTAACAATGTGTAAAGAGCAAAACGCAAACCCAGTTTCAAAAGACACATAAAAAGAAGATCTAACAATAAACAAATCTCAAAAAATGTAACTTAAAATGCAGTTTATATTTTGTTTAAGAATAAACATTAACCAAAGTGATAACATTAACAAACCCCTCAATTTGTTTACCTGATTTTGGGGATTGGAAGTCATCATCATCCTTTGCTGTTAGGGGGAAAAAAGGGTTCTCAAATTATATTCGAAATAAATAGCAAACAGCAAAATGTAAAATCGGAAAAGGAAGAAAACACAAAATTATAAAATGAACAAAAGTCAAAATCGAAAATCCAACATGCAAACGCATAACAAAAAAAATGCATAACGCACACATCAACAAACAATTTACAGGATCATTGCTTACCAAGAATTAATTGTGTTTTGGCCATCGTACAAATTCCAAATAGCAAACCCCTAAACACCAGCCGTCGTTTACGAACAATAAACAATTGGGAAACAACAAACAAAACCCATGGCAAACTGGTTGAGCAAAAGAAACTGCAAACGACCTTATAAATTGCAAACGCTCAAACAACCTAACCTACGGAAGGCTTCACAATTTGTGGAGAGGTTTTGGTATTGAAGAAATGGTGAAGAAATCGATATCCAGAGATTTGCAATTCTAATTTTCAGATTTGCAGTAATGGGTGGATTTGGTAACGGTTAGGTCAGATGAAAATGGGGAGAAAAATAGGGGATTTGATTTTGAGGATTTATTTACCATATATTGATAGGGGTACTTTTGACAAATTACAAATAATAAAATCTACTGGAAATTAGACTTTATTAGATGGATTTTAACACATATAATCTCTTATAGGAGGACCTATAGGAAGTTCCTCCAAACTAATTACTTGGTGTTATTAAAAAGAGAAAAAAGGAAAAAAAAAAGAGTGTATTGGAGAAATAGAAGTTGAGTGAGAATAATTTAACTAGAAAGATTTGTGTTCATTTTAACTATTATCTTTTATTTTCAATCTGCCAAATATATTATTTTCAGTCTATATTTATTATTTTAATGTTACTATTTTATATTCTAATTTCATTTAAGTAATAATTGCATTTTTTATTTAACTTTTGTATAATCTAGCTTAAGTTGTTGCTTACACTAATGTTTATAATTTACCGTATGCATGCACATAACTTAATACAATTCCTAATTCGAATATATATATATATATATATATATATATATATATATATATATATATATATATATATATATATATATATATATATATATATATATATGTGTGTGTGTGTGTGTGTGTGTGTGTGTGTGTGTGCACGCGCAGAGTACACACATGCGCGCAGGTGTATATGTGATCTTTCCATAATGGTTTAGAAAATAGGACGAGCTGGAAAGGACGATCAGAACACTAAAGAAGTATGCTGTTATATACACAAAAGAAGCTGCTGCTACAACAGGTGATAATAACAAGAGCTTTTCGCTGTTCATTGAATTACATACAAAATATACACATGTGCGAATTGCAATGCATGCTGTGGTTTAGTCTCCGAGAGGGCAAAGAGGTTGTCGCATGCTGAGCTCTGCTTTCATGTCCGGATATTTCTCCAGGTCATGTGAACTTTCCAACACTTTCTGCATTCACAATACACAAATCAACACAATTTCTTTTTCTGAATTCGAATTTACTTTTGCACGCCTATAAAAAAAATCGAGAGAAACGAATATCATGGGAAAATACACTTTTCGTCCCTCATGTTTACATCAATTTCACATTTGGTCCCCTTTGTTCACAAAAAAACAGATTTAGTCCCTCATGTTTCAACAATTTAACTATTTATGGTCGTTCCCGTCAATTTAACAATTTCACCATGTGTCCAGCACTGTCTTAACTGCCGGACTAATGGAAAATTGACAGAAATGGCTGAAAGTGTTAAATTATTGAAACACGAGGGACGAAATCTGTTGTTTTTTCGCGAACAAGGGGGCTAGATGTGAAATCGAGGTAAACTTGAGGGACAAAAAGTGTATTTTTCCCATAATAAGAAAATATACTCACCAAAGCAGCAAGATGAGCTTCTTGAAGAATATTCCCATCAATCTCTAACCTAGCAACAGGAAACTCAGGCAAGTGACCTGACTGTTTCTTGCCAAGCAAGTCACCAGGCCCGCGAAGTAGAAGGTCCATATTCGCAAGGTAGAATCCATCGGACGATTTCTCAAGCACTTTCAGTCGTTTAAGGCTAGTGGTTGTAGATGCTAATAATATACACTTTGATTTTCTCTCTCCACGCCCAACTCTGCCTCGGAGCTGATGCAGCTGCGCAATTCCAAATCTCTCGGAATTCATAACAACCATCATCGATGCATCCGGTACATCCACTCCAATCTCAATCACTTGTGTGGAGAGAAGTATATTCGTTTCTCCGGATCTGAACGCCCTCAGTGCTTCATCCTTTTCGTCACTTTTCATTCTCCCATGGAGCAATCCACATTTGTAATTAGAAAATTTATTGGAAATGTATTCGAAATCAGCTGCAGCGGCACGGAGTTGAGGGAGTTGCTCGGACTGCTGAATCACGGGATAGACAATATATATTTTGCCTTCTCCCTCTAATTCCTCAAACATCATCTGCAACAGTTGAAGCAGGGTGTCAAATATAATCAAAGCAGATATTTGCATAGGAAACTAATGCATGTTATGCCTAAACGAAGTGGAACTTGTATTTATATACATTCATGAATTAGCAACAACATCACGAACATATAGAACTGTTTTTATATTAAATTAACCTGATAAGCCCTCTCAAAACCGACTTCATCTCCTTCAATAACGTATGTCTTAACAGGTGTTCTTCCAGGAGGTAAATCGGTAATCTGTCATTCAGTGACCAAGAAAAGCTACTTAAAAGATATTCAAATAACTTATAGAAAATAGGATAGTTGATTCATGTATCCAGAATAAAAAAATTAGCGCGGACTAAAAAAATTAGCACGACACACTGATGGGACACTGGTATTTATTGCATGGCTGATTTTTTGTCTCCAACTTCATTTGCTTATTCTCTATCGTGTTATCACGTTGACATGCACATCCTCTATTAGCACATCTCAAATTACAGTAAAAGCAAGAAAAAAAAAACATATTGCAGTGTGCCTAACTTTGACAGTCAGCTTTGTTTCCATTAAAATGGTCATCGTTACGACCATGAATGACAATAAATGTACATCTGAGTAGAATGTTTCAGAATACCTTCTATATTTTGGTGACACATGAGGAAGATTTCACAAACCTCTGTGTTCTTCAACCATAACGAAGGGTATCACAAACAATTCAGTGTTAACATATGTTTTAGATATTTTACGATCTCTGTTAGGGATTGTGACAGGCCGTCACTTTGAAGGGATAAATGCAATTTACAAACAAGGGATTTTTTTATAATTTAGACATATCTCAGGGGGTTATTGGAAATTAATATTTTCCTTGAAATGAAACAAATGATTAAGATGTCCGATAAAAACTATAAGTTTGTATGTAAAAAAAAAAAGTAAAGAACATATACTTGTGTTAGGGACATGTCTCCATACAACGCCAAAGCAAGCGACCTCGGAATTGGTGTGGCTGACATTGCCAGAACATGTGGAGCCATGACAACATCATTTTCCACGGAGTCATTTGAACTAGTCGATTTTAGTTGTGAAGCTAAGCTGTTAAAGTATAACTGCAAAATCATGAGATCGTAAAATCATGAGTTAATCATACAACCCAATACGATTACATTAGATACACCTCGTAACTTGATAAGAATTTTCACTACGATGAAACAAGATGCGACTTGTACTCCATTGCAAATTATCAATTAATACTATCAATCCTGGTTTTTCCAATTAAAGAAACAGAACCACCATTCTGATTATCAAGAAAAGTCCGTCTAGCCCCTCCACCCCCATCAGAAACTAAAAATCAAATACACAAGACGCCCATGTATCATTATATTTTAGATCCTGTAAAATGATGCGGTTATGATAATAGCTATGCTGTAAATTCTTGACGTCATAAAGTGGAGATATTATCGTAACAACGTTAGATTGATGCTAATATGTAACAACGTTCTCAGAACAGGCTTTTTGAGAAGAGTTTGGAAGCAAAGAGGGGTACCTTGCTGTTGAAGCGCCCTCTTTGAACAACACCAAAACGATGTTGCTCATCAACAATCGCAATACGCAAAGCTGAAAATTCCACCTTTTCAGCTATTAAAGAATGAGTTCCAATTACTATAGAGATATCACCATTTTGCAGACCCTACCAAAAAAAAAACGACAGATGAAATCATGCAACATCAGCAGTAACCAAGGACAAAATCTGCATCCGCACTACCTTTCGAACACATTGTGCTTGCTTGTTTGGGGTTGAGCCTGTCAACAGAGCAACAGAAGGTTTTTCCTTGCCCTCTTCTATTTTCTCAAGCAAGCCAAGAAGGTGCTCGTAATGCTGTATAGCTAGCAGTTCCGTTGGAACCATAAAAGCTGCCTGGATGTGAAGTAATTTAATCAAATACACAAGTCATTTGACTAATAAAACTCAAGAATAAAGCAAGAGAAATCATTTATTACCTGGTACCCCGAGCCAATTACTTCCATGCATGCTAAGAACGCTACCACAGTCTTCCCACATCCAACATCACCCTGGTGAAGGTAAAAACAATATGCTTGACATTTCGAAGAAATATTAAATGTTGGTTGTTGGATTGAATGTCCATATAGATTGAATGTTGGCTCTTGGATTTTGGAATAAAAGGGAGAATATGTTTAAAAAACAATATATATAGTTGAAAAAGAAAATCCGAACCTGTAATAGTCTATTCATTGGAACTGGTCGTTTTAGATCCCATATGATTTCTGCAGTGGCGCGTAGCTGACTAGATGTAAGTGTATATGGAAGAACGTTCATGAATTTTTGCGTGATACTGGACCATTCTTCAACAAATGTAGTGTTCAAATCAGGCTTTGTGTACCGCTCAAGCAATCCATCTTTTTCTAGCTTTGTGCCAAGACTCTCGAGCATTTGGAATAACTTCCCCAACTGAAAAGAATATGTTCAAGAAGGTATTGTGAATACACACACCATTAGTATCTGAAAAGACTGAAATAATAATAGGTTGACTAAGTGGAAGTAGGTCAAACAATAAGATGAAAAGAAAGGAGGCAATTAAAAACCGAGAGCTCTTCAAAGTGGTTTAATGAATGCCAATCAATAATTCTGTCTGATTTTGATTGACTTGTGAGAATAATTTTCTATGTATAGAAATTGGTGCAAGTAATGAAACAGTAGTGAAGGCTTTAAAAAATTATTCCAATATGAACAAGGGTCGAGAGTGAATGTGATCGATGGTTGACCGAAAAGAGAAATAACAAGAACATTTCACCATTACCTGAAGATAAAAGAATTCATCAAATATAAACCTTCTGCGAGCTAAATCAGCCGTGTTCAAATTAGTTGGCTGATGAATTCCAATATATGCCTGCATCCAACAAAATGTACTTCAATTCCAATAGTATCTAGATACTGATGGTTATAACTCGTGCACCTCTACTTATGATTCCATGTAGAAGTAAAAGCTATAACTCAATAAAGCAAGGCTTTGAAAGCTAATTTACAAATACCAGAAACAAATAGAAGTCCAAATTTAAGAGTACATCTCAATTCTTATCACTGTTTCTTTTTCTTTCTTTAACCCTCCCAGTCCCCACGACTATCGAGAAAGCTGAGGCCACATTAAATGGTATGAACAACTTAAAATAAAAATGATTTCTGCGTATGCACCAGTCAAAAAGTTGCCAGCTTGTTTTTTTTATAACCAGAAACGGGAGCTGACAAAGGCACCCAAAAGGCGATAAAAAGATGACATAACTTCCATTTAGTGAAGCCACTCAGTAATCTTTACTGAGGGTAAAAATGCAACGACAGGTTGAAAAACTGTTACAAGGTTGTGAGGCAAGTCAACATACATCATACAGGGAGAGCAGTTGAAATTCCTGAGTAATATAATTAGGAAGAGGATCAAAATCAACTGGCAGCGTCTTTAAAGCTCTGAAAAAATGTGCAAATTCACTGTATTAGAGAAGGAATACATTTGAAACAACTCGATGAAGAACATATTACATAAGCCAATCTCTGCAAAGAACTAAGAGAGAGGCGATCTAGCATCAATATGTGGCCATTGGACACAGTATAAGCACGAAGCAACTAACAATTAGATCGACTAATTGGTGTTTATTATCGCTCCAAATATTTGGAAAGCTAATATTCAACTACGGTGGGAGTTTAAATCCATCAAGTAATAATACCATGGTCGACAAATAGGATTTATTTCCCTCTTTTGCATTCTTGGGGTATTAAAATGCCTAAAGATTCACGTTCCAATTAATATCTATTTTTAACTATTATTACATTAGTATTGGAAACTAATGAGGAAAGAATAGTTAAAGATTCTACATTTCGACCAGTTACCTAGAATATACTACAACTGATTGATTAAAAACCCAGATGAAAAAGGACGATGTACAGAAGAAAAACTAAACGGAAGACTGAAATCTATGTCATAAAACACCAACTTCAATTCACAAACAAGTATCCGGAACTGAGGACAGGTAAGTGGAACCTAACCACACAGAAATAGTTAATAAGGATGTAAAGGTACGGAGTGGAGACCTTGAAATGAAATCCCTGACCAATTCAGGGTTGAGACCCTTTTTTGAAGGATATATTGGATAAGGCCTCCCTTTTGCAAAAATACATGAATTGCCTTCCTCAGTCACCACATCGATATTGTACTCCCTCATTTCAAAGTGATCTTTGCTACTCATGGTACGCACCTTTCAAAAATAAAAACCAACAATCATAAGCTATACGTAAATGAAATTTTGAACAGTCGAAACTACTGACTAATCGGCCCCCACCAGTCTAAGAGAGAAATACTGAGTGAATACATGGGAGAAAGAAAAGACAGAAAATCGATCTGCACAAAAATGCAAAACAAAATTAAAAGAAAATCAAAATATAAGTGTTCTTTTTTCGGTTGGAAGGTTTCTCTACACTAATTTAGGTGTAATAAATATGCTACACTATGAAACCTGCGGCGTCCAGAAAGGCATAAAGACATAAACCAACCAACTGTCCTTAAGTTCAGACCCAATCACCCAATTTGGAAAGATAAACGAAATGGTTAAGCACTTTCAAGATAGATGAAAATCTATACCTAATACACGAAGTATTACTCTTGGAAGAGCCTAAAGCCAAAAGGTAGTGCAAATTTTAACATAATGGATCACTTAATAAAAGAACCTCACCTTGCCACTGATACACACAATATCACCCTCCCTGTGGTTTTCTTGAATTCTTCTGAGAAAAGGTGTGCACGTGAAACGAGTACCACGAAAAAATTTCTTCAAATGCAGATATATAGTTCTTTTCCTTCTCTTTTCTACTTCAACAGCAATGCACTCTGAGTTTGGCTCAGCATCTGCACCAACCTCACATGCTACAATAACCTCCAGAAATGCGATTGAACCATTAGCTCGGATTCCCCTGGTCAAAAAGTATCCAGTGTCAAAATTGAACTATGACAAAAGATAATGGAAAGATGAAGATGCAGCTTATATCACAAATTCAAATAGCGTGAATGTAGGGGGCAGCAGTACACTTATGCAGTTGCACACCATCAACATATAAGGCAGTTCTATTAAATATACACTTAAGGTGTGTTTGTTCGAAGATGGTGGTGGTGGTGGGGGAGGTGGTTTGTGTTTTTTATTAGGATATGAATAAACGAATAAATCAATCGCTGCACCTCGCTAAAGGAAAAAAGTACAAGTCCAGAAAGCTATTCCATATTCCAATATTAATTCATTATATAAAAATTTATAATGTTAACTAAGGAAACCTTCATTATTATTATGAGAATATTACAGTATCCACAATTGCAAGGTAAAATATTACACATGCAGCGCCATAAAAAGTTGATTTATAGGATAGATATAAAAATATTGAGAATAATAGAAAGCCTACCTTGAAGACATTATTTCCCCAACGAAGATCAAGTATTGTCCATCATCAATTTCCACATCAGCATTCTGTAAATCGGCATAGGTGCGAGGAAAATGATGTAGCAATTTCCGTAACTACAATTATAAAAAGCAGATCCATCAGGGTTCCATCTAACGGAAAATAAAATTGCTCCTGAATAGTTATTCAGTTGGAGTACCGTGTGAAAACCACTGTTCTCTAGCTGACTGAGCTGTCGTTTGGTCAACCCAGGTATGCAGCTTATACATTTATCAAGGATTTCTGCCACTGAGGCACCATTGCTGCAAGGTTTGTCAGCAGTCAACTGTAAAGAATTCCTTGCCTCGGTCTTCCGATCGGGTGGCTCAGAATATATAGCAGATTTATCCGATTCTTCTTCCAGGACATAAGGGTCAGTCACATTTGAAGTCTCTGTGTAGAAAGAATCCAGGTTTTGGAACAAAGATTTCGGATCGACCCAATTTGCATCAAGCCGACTAGGAATGCATCCTTCAAGAATTTCAGGAACCAGGGGTTCTGTGGTTTGAGAGTACATTGCAGGTCCATCGTACAAATCCACAGTCGGGAAGCAACCCAAAGTGATGGAAGAGAATTGTTTGCATGCCAAGGTTGCATCAAAATCAATATTTTGGGCTTTGATATTCTCATGAAACCTTTCTCTATTGCCAATAAATTCATCAAGGCCGCTGCAACCGATCAGAACTGATTCCTACAAGCAAATCAAGTCGTGACACCAGACAAAAACTTCCATAAATTTCCAGCAAACACTCAAGATTGGCATTCACTATATTAATAGTACCGTACACTAATCAAAAAAATATTCATACAATCCATCATAGGTGGACAGTGAGAACAGTATTAAAAAGTACGAGAAAAATTCAGGACAGAAGAGTAAATTAATTAAATTAGGAAATGTGTCCGTAAAGTAAAAAGTAATATTGAACCAATAAAGGAGATGCACACTAGGTTAATGAAAAGTAATTATGTCAGTTTTGCATCAAAATATGTACGTATTATACAAACTGATGCTACGAATTGCCACACCTTTTCATAGCCATCTACACCATTCAACAACTTTCCTGAAAACTTGTGCTTCGATCGAACACAAGATGTTAAAATATTTGGCGGAAGAAAATTACTAAACCTGCATGGAATAGAACTAGTTATAAAAGCCATTCAGGCAAGATTCTGACAAGCATCAACAAAAGAAAATAATACCTCAGGCTTCTGCAAAAAATGCTCCTGTATGCTCTCTCAGCTTCTAAATTTACAGCATGACGCAAACATTTCTCACTGAAACCCTGAGAGGGTGAAGTTCATTTTGGCGACTGTCACGCTAAAATAATAGCTTGTATTGAGATCCAATTAAATTTTCTCATTAGAAATTCTCGAGCAAAATAAAAAAAAACACTAAGCGAGTAATCACAGATCCAATTGCGTTATGATATCAAAATAGGAGCCTGCTTATATCCAGATTGATTTTCTACTAGTTCACTAAGTGCATACATGAGAAGAGTTCAACAGCACATTTTATCGATTAGGCCAAAAGACCATTTGTGCGCTATCGTCGTTATATAAATAGCCCGTTTAAGTTAAATAGTTAAAACAATCAGAATAAATCTAATCATACAAAATATTAGACATGAACCATTTCTAATACAACGATTTGATTGTGCTCGTGGGCAGTGACACATTTTGCGATGATTTTCCGTTTCTATTCGCTAACAAAAACCTATTGCCAGTACTGTAACTACTGTTTTTCCGTGTGCTTACGACTTTTCCGAACGCGAAACGAAAACGGGCCGAATAGAACAAAGGAGCACGAAATCAGATTAAAGAGATGGAAAAAAAAAAATAATCATACCATGCTATGAAGATGCACAGCAGAAAATGCGGTCACTGTCATAAACAACGAGATTAAACCCCCAGAAATAGCAGATTATATGATACCGCCATTAAACCTGTAGAAAGCCCTATCTTAATCACTTAGCGGCAAAATCCTCAGACATAATTTAAAACGAAGCAAAACTTATTCTCAATCACGTAAACCAAAATGAAAACATTAACCTAGAAGGAAGTGGAAATTGGGTAGCATTGCAAAACGAAGAACACTGAACACTCAATTATGGAGTTCAATTAGTGAAATCAAACAAGCCAAAAATCAAACACCCAACGCAAAAATTAAAGTATTTTTCTTCGTCAAAACAGCAGAAACGAAATACCTTTTCGAGTGATGAAAGCTCGGATTTTGCCGTTGAGAACGATGACTGAAGGATAACGGATCGACATATTATAATAAAATGATTTCAAAATTGAGAGCAAGCAAATATTTATGTGGGAAATTTGTAACCAACCCCCTATTGTTTAATAAAATAGCAAAATAACCCCGTAACAAAATTATCCCAAAAAAGACGGTGCTATGAATAATTATGATAGAGTTCAGGGATGTCCAAGCAATTACCTATTTCTTCACGGACCTTGTGCCTCGTTTATCTCGCTCACTCTATAAATACAAAGCCCAAGACAACTCAATACCACAAATTAGGGTTTTTATCGATCTCCGCCACCGCCACCGCCACCGCCGCCGCCGCCGCCGGCCGGAAACACATCTAAATTTTTTTCTTATCAGCTTTTTAACATAAGTTTCGTTTTTTATGTATTCAAAGATAGGGGCTGAATTGCAAAAAAGGGGAGAGATTGAACAAATTACTGTTCGTGGCTCTGAAATTGACCTGCAGGTTTTCTGCAAGTTGCCCTGCAAATATCAGCCCTTTACATCAAAAAATGGCATCATAGTACGGCTTTGTGCTTTCAAATGGGTTTTCTGGGTTGAGCTTTGCTTTTTCACAGACTGCCCATTTTGATAATCCCCGCAAACCCGCCTCCAAACGCCATTACATTTTCTATAAATTCATCTACGTTTTTTTATATGCTTACTTATTATCAAATCAATCTATGAATCCATCAATTATAAATTTCGTAATATTTTCGTAATTGACAACGATTTGGATTTTTTTAACTACAGATTCTAACTACCATAATCAGTTTTTTACTAGTTCTTTTTTTACTCATAAATCATTTGTTTATTGTTTGCTGCACTAATAAACAGACCCCTGTTTATTTAAAAAAATTGCAACAATTAATATATAGGTGTCTTAGATAGACACGGCCACGGGTTGGGTTTGACCTGGACCCGGCCTTGATTCGACCCGTTTACCGCTCCGCTGACCATGGACCCATCGAAGCACAGGTTGGTTTTGGGTTCAGATATTTTGGATTCGTGACCTGACGGGTCTACCTGGTGGGGGGCCGAGGACCCAGAAAATGGACTTGAAACCCGGTGGGGGCCCGAGGACCCAAAAAATGGTGAGATTGGGGTCGAACCCGGGTGGCCCGAGTGGTTTAGTAGAGTACTAACTATACTAGTCCTAACCAATGTTGTCAGATACGGACCGGTTCGACCGCGACCCGCCCAAAATATAGTCTGGTTCAACAACAAAACCCAAAATTAGTTAACCGGGGTTAGAGCGTCAAAAACCCGGTTTGATTGGAAACCTCGATAGACCCGGCAACCAGTTAAAGAATCGGGTTTTAGCATGGTAGATGGTCGGATTTGCGCGGAGGATTACCGTGGTGGTTGTTGGATCTGGGCGGGGATTGCCTTGGATGGTCGGATCTTGGTCGTAGGTGATTCGATCGAGTTGTGAATGGTTAGATCTGTGGGCTGAAGAAAAAGTGAAGGGTGAAAATGGAGAAAAATCAAAGAGAAACATGAGTAGATGAGGAAGGAAGGTGATGTTTTTTCTGAACGTGGAGAGAAAAAAAAAAGAGATTGGGCTTTGAAGTTGTAGAACGAGAAGAGGGAAGAAAAGTTCGAAGTGGGGTAGGTGGAAAAGTTGGAAGTGGGAGTAGGTGACTGAAGAGGTACGAGGGGAAATTTAAAAAAAAAAAAATATATTAAAATTGGATTAGAAATATACGAGTAAAGGTGAAATAAACATAAAGAATACATAAAAAAACATATAGAATAATATTTTTATATTTATAAAAATAATTAAATTATTATAAAAATTTAAAATAATAAAAAATCCAGGTTGACCTCAGTTGAACCGGTCTAACTGTGACCAGAATCCTTACCCGGTTTTGTGTTCGGTCCGGTTCTGATAACACTGGTCATAACTATAAAAAATAACACTGTAAGGGCCCTTTTGGTTGGTGTGATGGGATTGTAAAATCAATATTGATTATTACACTGTTCACTAAATAAAATACTCTTTTGTTCACTACTATTTAGTATCATAAAATACTCTTTTGGTTTGTAGGATTATTAATACATGATAGTTTATTTTTTTCATTTAGTTTGAATGATTGTTATTGATTTCACATGTATTTACATATAAGCCCTTGGTCAATATTTATTTCCTTGACCAAAGATATTCACGGTGTAAAGACCACAATAATTCAAATTCTTAAAACAAGCATTAAAAAAAAAATTCCAACTATACCAAATTAGCATCTCACATCGGCAAAAACCCTAAATCTCTGCAACATGCAACATGCTCTGGACAAATACTAATCTGAATTAATATCAGCAAAACCCATTCGAAAACAGAGTTGTACCTAGCATAATGAGCAATAGTAGGCGTTTTCGTGCAGACGGGTATGAGTCTGAGGATGGAAATCGAAGCCATCCACCCATTTGTCGTTGCGGGCTACATACATTATTGCAAACATCTTGGACTTCGTTAAACCCGGGGCGCCGTTTTGTTACTTGCCCAAAATGAGATGTAAGTTCCATTGTTTTTGCAATATTGTATTTGATTTGGTGATGATATTGTAGTTTGAAATTTTTTACAGGATGTTTTTGCAATTTTCTTGATTTGTTTAGGGTTTTATTAATAAAACATGTTAAAAAATATTCTGGTCTTTTGTAATTGGTTTTTTTACGGTAATCGATGCAAGTTCTATGAGTGGTGTGATCCGGAAATATGCGACCGAAGTAAGAAGATAATTCCAGGTTTGTTAAGCAAAATTAACCTTTTAGAATCACAACTTGAAGCCATTAAGGATAAGGAAAATAGGAAAAAATACAAATTAGTTTGCTTTGTATGTCTAGCATGTGTTTTGGTTATGTTTCTTGATCTCCTATATGGTTCAATTGCCATTGTAGGATTTGTTTGTTTCTTTGGAATTATTGATTACTTTATGTAAGAACTACATGTATGCTAAGAACTTCATATATGTAGCCTATGGGGGTTTTTTGTTTTTTTTTTTAGAAGAACTTGAAGATGTATTGATCTATTGAACGGAAGTAAAGTTTAGTTTCGTGTTTTGAATGACCATATTTTGTTATGTTGTTAAGTGTTTATATAGTACACATTATATGATAATTTGCTAAGAGTAGTTGAGAAATCCGTAGGGAGATAGTGGAGTACCATACTACCATTACATAACAACAATACAATTAGTAAAGGTCTACCATCCGTTGGCACTAGACATAGGGAAAACTCGATGAATTACATCGTACATGTGCCAATTAGGTGAAAAAAGGGGGCACTCTATTCATATAAATAGTGAATATAGGAATTTAAGGATCTATTACTCCCGAATTTTCGCCGTTCGATCCATTGTCATTGTCGTCGTCCAAAGCACGCCCGTACATATCATGA